CCTCACATCATAACCGATTAAGGTGCCTCTTCATATTAATATTATGTCATTGTTCATATTATACCCTTTGTCTTATATAACAGCAATAGCATATTATAATATTTTATCAGTGTGTACCACTATACTACTCCTGAGCCAATTTGTTAGTTAGGATCATCTTATTCAGCAAACAGATAATTTAGAATTCATCCAATCTGCGGTCACATTTGTTCTCTCTGTTGCATGGCGGACCAGGCAGGTCTATTATAATATATTATTTATATTTTATTTTGTATCCATCAAGGGCTTCAGATGACCTGCAGAATCATCCTTTTCCCAGGGTGGAGACAGTTACCTTTTCACACACTGTCCTTGGCTGAACAATGACACAGTCTTAATATACCTTATTTATTTTATTAAAATATTTTCGTGTGAATTATTTGCTTTATATTCATTTTATACATGCTGGGCATGGTCATCATGCCAACTGTGTTTCATTGTTAATATCACTTTACAGGTTGTTATCCTTGCTATTATTAATTTCAAATACTCTAAAGATAATTTCTACTGTAACTTTCCCTTTGTTCATCTTTATTTCGTACTTTGTATATTTATATCTAGTCAGTGGGGTCTGTTTTCAACCCTTTTAAACTACTTCAAACTACTTTGATCTCTAGTTTTCACTTAATAAGGGATTATTAAGTTCTTCCTGATATGGGTGGTGCTGCAGATGCGGCTGCAGGAGTGAGTGATGGCTTTCTAAAAGGGTTGTGGGAACTGCACAGTGTCTCGTCTTCTGGTTTTACTAAACTGGCAGTTGAGTTCTGTTCTTCTGACTGTTTATATTTTGTTTTCTTAAATCTCTCAGTTTACAGACACTGTTTTTGTCCGGCGTCTGGACTTTTCTTTTCTCACCACTGCTCGTCAGCAGGAGTGAGTTTTAATTTCACTTGCTTGATTACCCATCTTATTTATGTATTTACTTATTTTTGTTTAAGTAATATATACACAATACAGCTGCTATCACCTTCGCTGGTATTAGAGACGAGAGTGGTTGCTCACACGCCCTTCTACTTTCGGACTATTTCCAAAAGCGGTGTGAACTTTACGAGACGGAACTCGACCGTTCTCTCAACTCACCAGCACGTCAGTGAATAGCAGTAAAAGAAAAACACAGTAGGAGCAGCTCAGTCTCTTATTGGACCGTGAAAAGTCAGCTTGCTCCATTAATTAAAACAATACACACACACATTCACAGCTTTGACGCGCGCGCGACCGGAACCCTTAACATAAGGGGAGCTCCCAGAGCTACTTACTCCCTAGACCCAGTCTAGACCCAGCTGGGGGAGCTACCCAGAGCTCCAAAGCTACCAGTCGACGAGCTCCCAGAGCTACCAGTCGACGAGCTACGCTACCAGTCGACGAGCTCCCAGAGCTACCAGTCGACGAGCTACTTCCGCTATTTTAAATTCCCTGAATTCAAAACGCGCTTTTACGCAAGATTGTGTCAGTGTGTCTTTATCTACCTGGTCAGTGTCGCCGGGTCTGGTCCACCTCGATCGGGTCCCACCACCGTGGGTCGCTTTCTAATATGTTGGCCAAGACCCGAATTTGAACGCTCTTGGTCCTATATCACACACCTGGTGTGTGAGCTGTCGACAGACGAACAATATGGACTGGTCACGGAGATGGGACACGATGGAGGCGCTCCGGCTCCGAAGGACCAAGAAATGTTGGGGAAAACTCTGTAAAAGACCCAGGAGAAATAAAGACACAATGAGACAAAGTTACTTTCTTTATCAAACGTGTACACGGGTGAGCTGCTAAGAACAACTCACACCATGCACAGTGGCTTGGTAATTTTTATAGGCACAGAGCACAGAGACAGTGAGAACAGGATAACAAATAATAAACAGATAAAATAAAACAACTCCATATATGGTGCTAGTCTCGTCAGCAGAGAGCTAGGGAAGATAAAACAATCTAAAACAATATGTCCCAGAAACAAGATGTGTTTGCTGGGAAAGTCTAAAAAGATAATTCTAAACTAATCTAACCATAGGGAGAGGGCAGACAAAAGGCATCTTTGTACATTTAAAAGAAGGTAAAGAAACATAGAATCATTTTTCCTGTAACACTTGTAATCTTTAAATTTCCAACAACTCATAGACCCCTCTAATAATATCTTAAATATTTAACATACATAAGAACAGGGATCAGATTTAATAAATGAGTTAAAATCACAAATTACCTCCCGTGAGATGTAAACAAAACAAGACCAAAGAAGGGGTCAAGAAAGAGTCATAATTTTATCTCTTATTTGTTTCTCACAGTTTTGTCGAGCTTCACCGACCAAATCCTCAAAGAAGTGCCCCAAAGCCCTCTGAACTTTGTAAAGGCTGCAAGTAAGAGCAAACATTGCCATGACTTGTTCATTAAGAAATTACAATTTTTATGTCAAGATTAAGTCATGTAAGCCCCCTGCAGGAAGGAGTAGGTCTAAGGAGCTTGGAAAGAAAAGTGTCAGAACTTCTTTATTTTTCTTGAAGACGTCAACATGGTCAACATGACCCCCCTTGGGGGACACTGCCACCACATCCACCATTTGCTCTTTGAACTGAAGAAGCTTCTCAGGTGAGAGGTGAAACGTCTTAAAGAAAATTTTAAAAGTCCAGACGCTTTTCTTTTCAAGCTCCTTAGACTACGATGACCTGGATGACTGAGAATCTTCACAGACACCCAGTGCAGGAAGGTTACTAAATGTACTGGAATGCTTGTGCATTACAGGGAAGTCATTGATGAAGTGAAAAAGCTCTACAATCCAACGTGGAAAAAGCATGAGGAGAATTACCACAGATTGAGGTAAGACTTAACATCCTGATATTATTGATTGATGGTTGAGTTTTATTTTTATGTGAATTTCTGGTTAATAATAAATAAATAAAAACTGCCTGAAGCTAGTATGTGAGTACGAGCATGGAAGATGGCAGACTACAGGAAACAGCTGCTATTTATCCTCAAATGCAGATGAGGCAGGATTACTCCTAAAGGTCTTTAAACAAGCTCTTCAGTCAAGGCTAAGAGCCATTTGCTAAACGAAACGGCTAAACAAATTTTCCCGTCAATATGCTTAAACTAGTTTTAGTTAAGAAGACACGTGAAAAGGGGACCTTTGACCAGCCCACAATTAAAAGTCTAAGACCAGCCAGAAAGAAATAAAGGTTTGGTTTACTTGTTTAGCAGACTCACACTCAGGATGTGTACAAGTGGGTGGAAAAATTGTCTGAGAGGCAACTAAATCAAGTAGAGAAAATTCTCTTGCAAAAATGTTGAACTTTGCTGTGATGTAGAGACAAATTCCACTAGTGGAGCTGATCGCAGCCACAGATTCAGAAACCTGAACCAACACTGTGGATGTGGACGCAACTGCGAATGATGGTTTTGGCCTCTTCAGCAATGCAAATCTTCCAGCATCCATGGAGGAGAGGAAGGCGGTCGTGTCGCTTAGTGAGGACAACATAATCGTCATCTGACAGACAAGAGCGGGCCAAAGGTTTTACAAAATTGTTGGGTTTTTGAGAAAGAAGACAAATAAGTACATTTTATTACATTTATTAAGCAATTCAAGGTTCAAGGTTAAAACGGCTGCCTTGTCTGTGCTCACTCAGGAGACCCAAATGAGCAAAGAGCACCACACCAGGCAGTGTACGCCTTTAAACAGAATCTTAACATGCTTGGTTGAAACAACTGAGGGTGGCCTTAGGTCTGATATCTGCTCAGGTTTCTTGTACCTCTCTCTATACGTCTCCTTATATAGACATGAGCCTTTTTCAAGAAAAAAAAATCCCATTACCATAGCAACCACCTCTTGCACTCTGGTCAGGCCTGCATACAGAGATAGGGAGGGGGGAAGGAAAAGGAAAGTGGGGAAGAGAGCTTCTTTATGGGCCTCATCCCCCTCAAATTCCTCACAGAAGGAGCTTCTGTCTGTGCCTGTTGTTGTCAGTGTTATAGACTACTTCCAACACTTCTTACTAGTCTACAATACATAACTGTGTGTGGTAAAGGATAAAACAAACGTGTGATGTTAATTTTGACATAATAGCCTTAAGCATAAAAATAAATTCCAGCTGGATCTAAGGGTAACTCTTTGAGACTTTTATAATGGTGTGATTTCAGCCATTCCAGAGCTCCGTGTGAATGATTCTAATGCCTTTGGTCTATTGCAGGGGTGTCAAACTCAAATACACAGTGGGCCGAAATTCAAAACTGGAACAAAGTCGCGGGCTAACATTAATATTTATTGAAAAAAAAAATTCTTCCTCCAGATATAAGAATGAATCTTTTCTTATGGACTCAAATAAGTTTTGCTGGAAAACTGAATATGGAACAAGCAAAGCTTAATACTAAACAATATATATATTAGCTGTATAATACCAGTAGGCCAGCTCTAATAGTAATTTGGTATGGCTTCGTGGGCCAAATGTAATTAGGCTGCGGGCCATCTATGGTCTATTGGATCATAACAATCATTAAAGTGTTTTGATATTTATGCAAAGGTACTGTTTAAGTTTGAGGAAACCTGCAGTCAGCTGAGAATGAAGAAGTCACTTGGATGAGTGGTAAAATGAAAAGCAAATAGGCCAGCTAGGCCGGCAACACTGCATTTGTCACTGGTGCTAATACGTTTCGAATTGAAACGCTGAAAAAGCATACAGCATTATATGCCGCGATAAATGCGCTGCCAAAATGTCCCCGCTCCCCACTGCCTTTCAGCGGCAGGCAGGAGTAAAGAGGTCATCTGAGGAAGCCGAGATGATCATTAAGTTTAACATCGCCTACAATATTGCAAAAGAAGAAGTTCCGTTTACTAAGTTCAAGTCAGAAATAACTCTTCACAAGAAAATGGCTTGGACATAAACCCCACATACAGCAATGATGTTGCGTGCGCCCAGTTTCTAGGCGTAATCGCTGACACACTGAAAAAAAAGACGTCAGTGGAAATTGCGAACAGTACATACATGGCCTTCCTGATCGATGGAGACACAGACATCGCCACAAAAGAATGTGTCATTGTGTACACTCGTATCTTGCAAAAAGGAAGACCAGGGAATATACTGATTGGACACATTGAGGTCCAGCATGCCCATGCCCAAGGTAAGCCATGTCATGTCACGTAGCCTATGTATATGATTGTTACTGAATTAACCATATCTAGCATATTCTTATCATTAAAAATTAAACATAGCAATAATACATGAATATAGAAACTCAAACTGAAAAAGACTGCATTGTAAACTCTTGATCTGATAAGTAAATGGTATTTTTTTTTTTATTTGTTTAGGAATTTATGCTGCCTCAAAGAAAGCATTTGCTGCTCTTGGGGACCAGTGCAGTAACTGGTTGGATAAAATCATTGCTATGGGGGCTGATGGAGCTGCTGTTAATTTGGGCAACAAAGGGGGTGTCAAGTTAATCATTTTGAAAGGTTGTTAGTTAATCATTTACAAATCAAAAAAACGTGAACATGTAAAACTGCGGTGTTAAGTAATGCAATTAAAAAATTTGGGTACGCACCAGTGCAACCATGGCAAAAAGTTAGTCTAGAGCCCTGCCCATGGGAGTGTCCCCTAAGAAACCTTGGCTAATCGTGGCCTACACCTGTTTTCACACCTTGACTCGTGTGATTGGGTAGAGAATCAATAGGGGGTCTATTGTCCCTTTTGGGGGTTCACTACCATAGGGCTTAAATCTGGGACTCTCCACCATTTGAACTTAAATTAAAGAAGCTTCTCGGATGACAGGTGAAACGTCTTCAAGCAACTTAAAGAAGTCCAGACGCTTTCCTTTCCAAGCTCCTCAGAGCACCTCATAAAATATATGTCTCTTAAAGTACCACGCTTATGACCGATATTAAAGTACACTTGTATAGGCCTATTTAACACCACATACAGTTTACACAAGACAATTTTATCTCTTATATGAATGTTATTTATTTTAACTGTCATAAACAGGATGTAACAAGCGATGTTAATAATAACTGTACTGAAGACAGTCATTCCTCCATGGTCTCGTCAGACTGAGTCCGTCTTGTCACATTTAAGAGAGCTCTCACTTTCCAGAGGGCATCATTTGTTTACCCTGATCAGAGACATTTGCTACTTTGAAGGACTGTCTAAATTTAAGGAATCTGTCTTGACTTCTTGAATTGGCTGGAACTATTATATCCAGATCCTAGAATATCTGAGTCATGCTGTTAGCAAAGATAAGTTGAAAAATATTTTCAGCTTCATTTCCTCCTGTGTTCCTCCAGTTTTCCTCCAGTGACTACCTCCTCGTGTTTTCTTGTTTCCACGATATACCAAGGTTTCTTCCTGCCCTTCAGGGGTTTGTTTATTTATTTAAATACCTAATTTAAATGTTCCTCAGTTTAGTTTTGTTATCTTTGTTTTTCCTAGTTTTGTAAATATGCCTTAATAAAAAATACTCTGACTTAATCTCAGTTTTGTCTCCTTTTGTCTGCGTTTGGTTTCTCATAAAATCACTGTTATGGACTGTTGTGAACTTTATCTGTCTCTGATTTTTCCATGCCTTAAGTTTTTACTGTCTTGCAAATCTTTCATCTCAACACCAAAACTAATTTAACTTTTTATGCTTTCTTTTATTTGTTTTTCATTTGTTTTTAATTTGTCAAGATTACAACTGAGCATCAATTGCAATGGATCCAACAATGGCATCGTCACTCAGGAAAACACTCCAGTGGGATCTAAGATTGTTTGTGACAAGGACAGGAGTGTCATCTCTGTGACCCCGGAGCTTTTCAAAATCTTTATAAAAGTATGTTATTCCTAAACACAGGAACCGGTCTTGTAATTTGTTGTTTATGAATGAACTAGTATGAAGACAAAATTTGCTGCATGTTTCATGCCTCTGTTGTTCTTCAAATTTTCAAACATGATATGACTACGTTTTGTCATCATCCTTAAGGGATTAAATCACATCAGTTCCTAAATACAATGAGTAGTTGTCTTTCACACACTGTATGTTACAAGCACTGTAAATGTTGCTCTTTGTTATTTATAATCTGCTGATGTCACTTCCAGGAGAATCCTTTCTCAAAAAAGAGATGGGACACTTGTTCAATTGTTGGAAGCGGTGGGATTCTAACAAACAGCGGCTGTGGAAAAATGATTGATTCAGCTGATTTTGTTATTAGGTGAGAAAGATGTTCACTGTAAGGAATGGAAATCGTGATGAGGACTCTTCTCTCTGAAAGTAATATTTCATGTTATTTCAGGTGCAACCTTCCTCCTCTGGAAAATGAATTTCACAATGATGTCGGCAGGAAGACTAACCTTGTGACAGCAAACCCAAGCATCTTCATGCATAAGTGAGCAATTAATGAACCCGACATTGAACTGACTTGTTAGTTTATGTCTTGTTGCTTTAAGTCATGCATTAATTTGCAGGTATGGGTCACTGACGGGACGTCGTGGGGCGTTTGCAGACAGTCTCCAACAGTATGGCAACTCCCTGCTTCTCTTTCCTTGCTTCTCCTTTGGTTTTACTCGCCCAGTTTGTCAGCGGGCTGTGTATGCCATTGAGGACATGGATATTCCTATCCAACCAATCTTCATAAACCCTAGGTATCTCGAAAGACTGGTCAAATTCTGGGAATCTCTGGGGTTAAAGGAATATCGACCTAGCACTGGATTATATATGACTACCCTGGCACTGGAATTTTGTGAAACGGTGCATTTGTATGGATTCTGGCCATTTAGTAATCACCCAGATAAACTCTTTGCCCTGACTAACCACTACTATAATAATGTACCCTATAATAGGAAAGTCCATGCAATGCCAAAAGAGTTTTCCCACTTGGTGGAGCTGCATAATAAGGGCGTGCTCAAGCTTCACCTTGGAGACTGTAAATCAGATCAGGTCTAGTTTGAATTTTGCAATAACAAAAGAATATGTTCAAGTATCCAACTGAGAGACCAAGACATTTGCACTCAAATCCAAATGTATTAGAGAGATGTACACTACTTATTATTTCAACAGTCTTTCTTTTAATTATTGTTCCATTTCATGTGTTAGAAATTAATTTTTTTGCTAAAGTTTCTTTTTAACAACATTTGCAGTGCATGGTCATGATAAAGTTGATACACTCCTCGTTAGAAGGAGGGTACCCTGCAACAGATGCAGGATGAGCAGTTATGGAGACCCCTGGCAAAATAGAAAGCTCAACAGGGGGCTGAACTGTTACTCTGGCCGAAGAAAGATGCTGCTGACTCCCTGGAAAACTTAATGTAACATCACCCAATTCATTTCCCAACTGATCGCCCCCGGAAACATTATTCATTAGTTCACCGTCTGGTTTAGAACCCAGAATATTAATGTCCATTGTAGCCTGAGAAAAAGTCGCTCCGCAGTCAAGTACTAGGTGAGTGTTCCTTTCAGACGTCTGTCTGTCATCGCCCGAATTCGTATTTTCGTTGTTCTCCAAAAACATAAATTCAGAGTCTTTATTCTCAGTCTTTGGTTCTTTTAACTCAGAAGCAGAAAAACACAAACACAGATTGGCTGCCTCACCCTCACCAGAATTACATTGATGAATCTTTGACACACAGGCAGTATCTACCCCATAATATTGCCCAGAATCAGTAACAGTCTCTGCATCAGCTCTAGCGGAAGTTTCGCCGTTCTTAGCAAGCAAGTTAACTGTTATGGAAAAACCCTGTTCGAAAGTTGGACCCCCAAGGTACTCAGTACAGTTCATTTTCTCTGTCACAGGAAGACAACGTGACATTTCTTCAGTCTCCACCTGTGACAGGGTTTCAGTCACCAAAGGGGCCAGTTTGGCCCCGTGAGCTGCGTTTATAACAGAATTGTTCATAGACACATGATTTATCTGTTCATGGCTGGTTCCTGGACATCCATTAATTCGGCACAACTGGTTAAAGAAGACTCATTCACGTTCATTTTGCAGTCATGTGGTGGACTTGTAACCTGATCAGAGTCTGTGGTTACACATAAAGCAGTTACACTTACTTATGATGGGGAGGCTGGCACTAGGTTAACGGCAAGAGTCTGAATAAACTCTTCTGTGATGGGTTTGACAGAGCTATTAGCTTTAGCAGTAACCACATTAGTCAAAAACAAATCAAAAACGACGCTGTCAGAGGGGATTGAAGCCTCATTATGCTCTGACTGACAGGAATCACGGAGCTCGGCCTGATATTTGGCAGGTCAGTCCTGCATTCCCCAGCTAGACCCCCACCAGAAGCTGACTTAGACAGAGGCTCTGAGTCACCTATGAAGGGAGGTGCAGCTAACATAGTGTTTAAAAGAGCTTTGGCTGCCAGTGGTGGTGCAGACTGTGAGCTTACTATGTCAGTAGTACTCCCAACCAACACCCCATCCTGAAATGTTTTAGAAGAAACAAAAGACCATGATTTCAAATTTACACAAACTGAAGGTAGAACATGATCATTAGAAACAGTATCGGAGGCCCAGATCTCAGCCTCGGCATTCACTGCGCCCTGAGGGGAGCCAGAGCTACATAGGTCAGACATGTGTCCCCTATTTTCTTCTTCTGGGGGGCACAATTCAGTCTTAGATTTCAGAATATAAACTACATCACCATTACTGTTTACTTGACCAGGTACACAAAACTCAGGTGAATTGTGCTTGTTGAGTACAGGAGTGAGAGCACCACTCAGAGGTCGCTTTGAATTGTTTTCCTCTGGTTTACACAATAATTTGATCTTACACAATTCATGACAAGTATTAGAGTCACAAGATGAATGAGCTAAGGAACAGTCAAGTTGATCACCAGGTACAGACAGGGTGTCCTTATTTAAGTCACACCGCTCATGACCAGAGGTTATATCACCACCCTTCACACCAAACATGAGTTCTTGATCAACACTTTCATCATTTATTAAGGGAATGGGTGGTGTTGAGGAGCACTGGGTTGCTATTGCTTCTCCAGCACATGTAGAAATTGTCTTTATCTCTGGAGCATCTACAGACCTTTCATAACAGTCATATTCCTGCAACCTAGGCAGAATTTGAGGCGAAAGACTGTCACTAACCTCTATTATTAACGGAGTCTGAGAGGAAACAAGAGTCCCACCAACCTCCAGCTGCTGCGCGGTGCGTCGCCTCTTCTTTGAAGAAACCACTGAGGGTGAAGCATTGGCTGTTGGGGAAGTGAGGGGTGGCAGACCCTGGCAGCTCCGAGGGCCCCCGAGAGACAGGCGTGTTCCCCGAAAGATGTGCTGACAATCGGGGGTGAGCCACGGCTTTCCCAGGAGCTCCTCCTCTAGCTGGGTGCAAGCTGCTTGCTGCCACTCACAGAGGTCGAACTCCATGATTCCCGTCTTTCTAAACAACTAAACACTGTACTTTCAGTCTCAGAACACGAGTTTCCAGCCCCGGCGAATCAATGCAAATCTCGCTCTTCTCTATAGATGGATCGTGAGACAGAGACACACAGTCACTCACCCCCGGGGGTAGCGCGGTGCGACGGCAGCGGCGCTGACGCCAGTTCTTTCTGGAAGTGGGTACGATGGATGCTGATGCCACCGAAGAAGAGGGTGACGTGGCGGCAATCTCCTCGTCTTCTGCCCACATCCTCGCCAGAAACGAGGCAGGTGAAGTAAAGTCCGAGCGGGGTGGAGAGGGCAAGCGGCTGGTCTGAGGCGGTGCAACAGGTGAGAGTTCCTCCTCCAAGATGAGCCAGGGCTTCCAACGGAGCTCGTCCTCCCGTAAAGCTAGCAATACCTGCTGTCACTCATCGTTGCCGAAATCTGCGGCCTCCACCATCTCAGTGCGCTGGGCTGTGCAGCTTGACTGTGGCGGAGACGAACTGTGAGACGATGGCGGAGCAGCGGTGAGCCTCAGTGTCCCTACTATGACTGCCTCCAGCTCGCGAGGTAACCACAACGACAACCATTTAACGCGTCGGAGTCGTAGGTGCTGAGGCGACGTTCAACACCCTCTGGGCCAGCGCGCGGGCGCGAAGCTCCTCCTTAAGTGGGGGCCAAAGAGTCGAACACCTCAAAAAGCTGGGGAAACTGCCGGAGCTGTGGCGCCTTCTGAAGGATGGCGTCAATGGCCTCCAACCCAGTGGACACCACTCTGGGGTCCGTGCACCCACAGATGCGCGCCATGAGCCGACTGATCCGTTGCAGCTCCTCCCCAATCTCGTCCGGACTGTCCGCTGGGTCTGACATAGTCAGATCGTACTGTCACAGCGGGGTGCGCCGGTGTGAAGAATGAGGTAGACCCAGATGCAGACACGGTGGAGACAGAACTAGGTTTCCAAAAATAAAGAGAGCCTTTATTACAGTTGATGGCATGACAAAAACACTAGAGAACACTGAAACTGGGAAAACTAAGGAGGCTAAGAACACTGTGTAACGAGACCCGAACTAGACATGACTCGAACTAGACAAACAAATAAAACTTGGACATGAAACATGACAGATAAACACACGAAGACTTAACACAGAAAACTTCACACAGGGATGAGACAAATGGGGATCTTGATAAATCATGAATTAAAACTGTAACCTAGGTATGACAGAATGTAACTAGATAAACTGAAATGAAACTAGACTGAAAGGAATAACAAAAACATCAAGAAACTCAGAATACTGGGTCACATGACCCAGGACCATGACAGGGGAAGGAAAAGGAAAGTGGGGAAGAGAGCTTCTTTATGTGCCTCTTTCTTCTAACAGAGTCAGTCTTAAAGTTTTGCACCTTCTGGTGCCATCGCCAGTCTAGGCAGACCATCCCCCTCAAATTCCTCAGAGAAGGGGCTTCTGTCTGTGCCTGTTGTTGTCAGTGTTATAGACTACTTCCAACACTTCTTACTAGTCTACAATACATAACTGTGTGTGGTAAAGGATAAAACAAACGTGTGATGTTAATTTTGACATAATAGCCTTAAGCATAAAAATAAATTCCAGCTGGATCTAAGGGTAACTCTTTGAGACTTTTATAATGGTGTGATTTCAGCCATTCCAGAGCTCCGTGTGAATGATTCTAATGCCTTTGGTCTATTGCAGGGGTGTCAAACTCAAATACACAGTGGGCCGAAATTCAAAACTGGAACAAAGTCGCGGGCTAACATTAATATTTATTGAAAAAAAAAATTCTTCCTCCAGATATAAGAATGAATCTTTTCTTATGGACTCAAATAAGTTTTGCTGGAAAACTGAATATGGAACAAGCAAAGCTTAATACTAAACAATATATATATTAGCTGTATAATACCAGTAGGCCAGCTCTAATAGTAATTTGGTATGGCTTCGTGGGCCAAATGTAATTAGGCTGCGGGCCATCTATGGTCTATTGGATCATAACAATCATTAAAGTGTTTTGATATTTATGCAAAGGTACTGTTTAAGTTTGAGGAAACCTGCAGTCAGCTGAGAATGAAGAAGTCACTTGGATGAGTGGTAAAATGAAAAGCAAATATTCAGATGAACCCAATTATCATCCTGGGACTTTTGAGTTCACACACACATCCTGTTCCCACATCACCATTGCACTAACAATCTTCCTCCTAGCGTTTTTCCCGCTCGGTTGCAGGGTCCGCTTTTCTGCAAAGTCGTCTCCAACCATTGCACTAACAATGATCATGCATTTTTTGACAGATGGCTGAGTGAGGCATAGAGAATTTAAGCCCCATGGGAGTGTCCCCTAAGAAACCTTGGCTAATCGTGGCCTACACCTGTTTTCACAACTTGACTCGTGTGATTAAGTAGAGAATCAATAGGGGGTCCATCGTCCCTTTTGGGGGTTCACTACCATAGGGCTTAAATCTGGGACTCTCCACCATTTGAACTTAAATTAAAGAAGCTTCTCGGATGACAGGTGAAACGTCTTCAAGCAACTTAAAGAAGTCCAGACGCTTTCCTTTCCAAGCTCCTCAGAGCACCTCATAAAATATATGTCTCTTAAAGTAACACCCTTATGACCGACATTAAAGTACACTTGTATAGGCCTATTTAACACCACATACAGTTTACACAAGACAATTTTATCTCTAATATGAATGTTATTTATTTTAACTGTCA